CCTCACTCTGGCTCTCCCCCCACTCACTGTCCTTCCTCTCTCTCTCTCTCTCTCTCTCTCTCTCTCTCTCTCTCTCTCTCTCTCTCTCTCTCCACCTCCGACCGACGCCCCCTTTCCCTCTATCTCCGTTGGCTCCTTACAGTTCCCTGTTCCCCATTTCTCCTCCTTCCTTGGAGGCTTCTCCCTGCACTCCCACCCCGGGCTCCTGCTTGCAGACCCCCCATCTGTGCCCCTACCCTCCAGGATGTGTCCTGGAGACGGAGGGTGACGCATCAGGCGCTGATGGGAAGTCAGGGCCGAAGACCAGATGGGAGAGGCTCTGTGGGCAGACGTGGTCACTACGGGCTTAGGAGGGGGCCAGGGCCGCAAGCCTGGAAGTGGGCACTGTGTGGGGGACCCCAGCTAAGGGGCGTTCTAGGGGTACCTGGGGACTAGGTGGGGAAAGGGGACAGCAGAATGATAACCAGCTTGGCGGCAAGGAGGGGAGCCCTCACCCAGTGGGCAGGTAAGGAGGCTGGGGGGCCAGGGTGGGGTCCCGCAGGGTGGGGTCCTAAAGCCCCCTCCCCTGCCCAGGATGAACTGGGGAGGTTGGGGCTGGGGACTGGGAGAGGAGAGAGGTCTTCTTGTGACTTCTAGGTGGGCTGCAGGGGTTGGGAGGGTGTCAATCTTGGAATTTCGTGCCACGATTCTAGACTCTTGGAATCACAGCACAGCAGAGTGTCGGAGCTGGAAGAAACCAGATGCATCATGCCGCTTGGCCTCCTCGGCTCATGGGCCAGCTTGCCCGAGCTCCCGGTCTGCACGGGGCACTGTGGTCGGCACCCTCCCATGGAATCTTCACAGCAACCCTGGGAGGTGGGTACGCTTGTCTTCATTTTAATAGGAAGGAAACTGAGGTCCAGAGAAGGGAAGTGACTTGCCCAAGGTCACATAGCAATTTGGCATCATTGCTCTTGGCAGAGCCCATCTCCTAACCTAGCGAGGGCTTGTGGGGTGTGTTCCTGGGGGTCAGACCCAGGCCAGGGGTGGGAGTGAGTCAGTTGGCACTGAGTAGCATAATCCAGGCCTCTTGGGAGAAGGCCCGGGGGAGCAGAGGGCAAACAGAATGCAGAGCTGGCCATCAGCCTGCATTGTCCAGGGCTGTTCCGGTCGCTCATTCCTCTCAGCCTTCGGGGAAGCCAGCAGGGCCAGGAGATACTGATGGTTTAGGAGTAGACAGAACTGGATTTGAATTCTGACCTCCCACTAACCATCTGTGCAAACTTGCACAGCTTACTGAACCTCTCTGAGCCTCAACTTCCTCCTCTAAAAACCCTCTCTCATGGGCTCCGTAAGGATTTCATAATGTGGGTTTGAGGCCTCTGCCCAGGAGCAAAACCCCACCTCCCTTGGCCTGCTGGTCACCAAACTTCTCGGTCTATTCACATTTCTTGATGTTCTGGATGCTGAGCTAGGGGCTGGGGTTAGAGAAATGAACAGCTCAGGGTCCCTGCATCCAAGAGTCAGCATTCTCGAGGGGAAGAGGATGGGGGGCTGCCAAATGGAGAACCACTGGGGTGTCAGGCGCCATCCTAAATTGCTGTGGGGCTCAGGGCAGCCACTCACCTTCTCTGGGCCTCTGTCCTCCCGAACAGTCCTCTGAGGAGTCCGCCCCCAGCTTTCAGGCAAGCTTGTGCCAAAGATAAACCAGACAGGGAGGAAGAGTCCCTCCGCCCCCAGGATGAACTAGATCATGCACAGGGTTCCGGCTCCTTAAAGAAAAGGCGGCTCCTAAATTGCAGGTCTGGCCAGCTCCCACGGGAAGCTGCGGTTTCCCTGCTCTTGGTGGCCTGGCACCTTGAACTTCCACAGGGAAGATGGGCCCAGGTAAGGGTAGAGACAGGGTGTCTGGTGGAGTGGGGGCCGGGGATCCGGGAGGGGCTTATTCCTCCCTGGTACGAAGGCAGGGCCTGCTGGGTCCGCTCTGTTCGCACCGGGGTTGCGCGTGTTGGCATGCATGCTTGTGTGTGGGGGTGCACATGTGTGTGCTCTGGAGGGTGGGGGGCTGTCCTCAGAGCTCACCCCCAGGCTTGCTGGGAGATATCTGTCCCTGCAGCTGGCAGTCAGGTTTGCCCGGCTCGCTGCTCCTCTCCTGGGAGCCCAGTGCTCCCCTCCCTCCTCCAGCGCTGGTTCGGATTGGCCGCCCAGTGAGGATGCTGTAAAGAGGATCTGCACACTGTTTGGTGAGGTGGGTGGACAGGTGACTTAGGGCTCCCTGGCCTAGGAAGCCAGGATTCTAAGGCCCCAGATTCCATAATTCCAGGTCTAAGAAGAGCTGACTCCAGCATTCTGAAACTAACATTCTGATTCAAGGACACGGAGTTTAAAAATCTGTGTCTCTACAACTTAGTTCTAAGAATCTAACATTCTATTTTTAGGTCTCCAAGAGTCTAGGGATTTGGATCCATGATTCTAATAGTTCAAGCAAGTAGATCTCTGAATAAGCTTGTGGGAGAGCTAGATGCCAGCTGGGTGCCCTGGTTGTGATGCTTCGACCTTCCCCAGACCTGGCCTCAGTCTGCCGGCCTGTGAAATGGAGGTAGATGGAGATGGTCGTAAGGGTCCTGCCAGCTCTTCCCCTTCCTAGCTATGTGACCAGAGGGTGGCCTCATCTTTGCTGCCTGTGTGCACGGTGGGAATGATTGACACTAGTGCCTTCCTCACGAGACCCCATAAGATGCAATGTGTTACCAGCTTAGCCTGGAACCTGGTAGACGGGCTCAGTGACAGGAGCTGGCAGCACTGTTAGGACCCTGTGAGCCCACTGTCAAGATAGCCCCTCTGTTAGTTGTCTTTGTCCCAGGCTCAGGAGAGCTGGTGGGAGTCTGGAGTGATGGGTGGCCTGAGGACAGGCTGGGGGGTCTCTCCCCAGGCTTGGGGGAGCAGAGTCGGAGGCGGGGAGATACTCTGAGCCCCGCCAGCCTGGGGTGTCATTAGGAGGAGCCACGGCCAAGGAGTTCTTTGACATTCTTGGCATTGTTTTTCTGGCGGTCAGAGCCCTTGGAAGCCCAGGTCATTGGGCAGGGGCATCCAGACACGCTTGCCCACCCAGAGGCATTTGTTCCAAATTGGGGGACCTCCCCTTTCCAGGACCAGTATCCTGATAGGGCAGTGCATACCCCAGGTCCCACCAGAGGAATTTCAGGCCCAGGGTTGTGTAAGCAGGAAGGTATTGGATACTGAGGTGATCATTAGGAAGAAGTGGGGAGGTCCAAGCCCAGTGAGTCTCCCGGATTTCAGCCCCGGTCTACCTGGGCCTCCTGAGAGCCAGGAAGTCCCGCTGAGGGAGGCTAGTAAATCCTGAGGCAGGGGGCCTTTCCGGCAGGGCCTGAATTTCTACCATCAGCCATTCATCCTCCCTTTGTGTTAAGATTTGTCCACTCTGGTTCCTCTGATTCATGTGATGCCGCAAACACTGATGAAGAGTTGGTGCTTGTGTGAAAGGGACAGGCGGGAGACGGAGAAAGGTTCGAAGCTGAATAAGAGCATCTCCGCTCTCCAGGGGAATCGAGTCTAGCAGGGGAGCCAGAAGGAGGCCCAGCTCCTCCTCACGCACAGGAAAGGCACCAGCCAAGTACATGGAGGTGCTGGTTCGCACTGTGCCACTGGCCATGCTCTTACTCACGCCCCACGTCCCATCTGAAATGTCCCCTCCTAGGGAAGCCTGTCTTGCCAGTGCAGGGGGAGGTGGCTATTCCTGTGCCTGCCTCCAATGTGCTGTGAATTTCTCCATCGCGAGTCTCCCTCTGCGGGGAGGAGGGGCCCCAGCCACTCACCCCCCAGATTTACAGCCAGTCATCCTGGGCAGGGCCTTTGCGGATGTGCAGCGGGATGAGCTTGGCTGAGAGGGTCCCCAAAGGCTCTGACTCCCAAGGGAGGGGGTCCCCCTGAGCCTGTGGTTCTTAACCTGATGAAAGCTCTGGATTCTGCCCAGAAAAGACACGAACACATTAACTCTCACCGGAGTTTTAGGGGATCATAGATGCTCTGATGTTCCTCTAGAGATCTAGGTTCAAGGTTAAGGTCGTGTGATATGCAGCAGTGTTTTCAAATGTGGGGGATGAGACCTCTTGGTGGGTGTCTTAGTCTGTTCAGGCTGCTACAACAGATCACCAGAGACTGGGCGATTTAAAAACAACAGAAATTTACTTCTCACAGTTCTAGAGACTGGAAGTCCAAGATCAAGGGGCTGGCTGATTTGGTGTCTGGTGAAGGCCCACTTCTGGGTTCATAGATGGTCATCTTCTCACTGTGTCCCCATGTGGCGAAAGGGGCAAAGGAGCTCTCCGAGGGTCTCCTTTAAAAGGACTCTAATCCCATTCACGGAGGCTCTACCCTTATGATCTAATCACCCCCAAAGGTCGCACCTCTTTAATACCATCACGCTGGGGGTTAGGATTTCAAAAAGTGCCTTTGGCGGAGGGACACATTCAGTCAATAGCAGTGGGTGATTCGCTTGCGGCTGCCAGCTGGGCCCATCATACGTAGAAAGGGCAAGTGTTGTTTTGTGAAACGATATGACTTTGTTGGGTTGTCGTGTAAAATGCACTGGTGTCAAAAATGTTTCAAAAGCGCTGATATGGAGGAAAGAGCCTGATTGAATGATTCACTCGTTCCTTTATTGGAAATTTGTGGAGCACTCGCCCTGTGCACAGGTGAAGGGACACTAGGGCACAGGCCAGTGCTGGCCCCGCCCTTTGGAGAGAGGCGAGCCTGTGTCCCACATCACACCCTAGCTACATGACACAGGGCGGTCACTCCAGCTCTCTGAGACTCAGTTTCCCCATCTGAGAAATGGGGCTACCTTGCTAGCCTGTGCAGAGTGAATGAGCTGGTGCATGTCCGTCTCTGGCCGGGTACACAGTAAGAGTCTCCAAGTTTAGCGTGTCGCGGGTGGGAGCAGCAGAGAGAAAGAGATACTCCGCCATGACCCGACTGTGTCCTCCCTCCTCCAGGCTAATCGCTGACTGCTGACCGTCCTTCCTTCAGCCATGGACACCCCTGGCTATCCTTCATCAGTGCCCACAACCTGGGAACCCGGGAACACCTCCGTGGCCTGGCCCCTGGATGCCACCCTGGGAAACGTGTCCGTAGCCCCGAGCGCAGCCGGGCTGGCCGTCAGGGGTGTCCTGATCCCACTGGTCTACCTGGTGGTGTGTGTGTTGGGCCTGCTGGGCAACTCGTTGGTCATCTATGTGGTCCTGCGGCATACGGCCACCCCATCGGTCACCAACGTCTATATCCTCAACCTGGCGCTGGCCGATGAGCTCTTCATGCTGGGGCTGCCCTTTCTGGCTGCCCAGAATGCCCTGTCCTACTGGCCCTTTGGCTCCCTCATGTGCCGCCTGGTCATGGCTGTGGATGGCATCAACCAGTTCACCAGCATCTTCTGCCTCACCGTCATGAGTGTGGATCGCTACCTGGCGGTGGTGCATCCCACCCGCTCTGCCCGCTGGCGCACGGCGCCCGTGGCCCGCATGGTCAGCGCGGCTGTCTGGGTGGCCTCAGCGGTCGTGGTGCTGCCTGTGGTGGTCTTCTCGGGTGTGCCCCGGGGCATGAGCACCTGCCACATGCAGTGGCCCGAGCCGGCGGCGGCCTGGCGGGCCGGCTTCATCATCTACACGGCCGCGCTGGGTTTCTTTGGGCCGCTGCTGGTTATCTGCCTCTGCTACCTGCTCATCGTGGTCAAGGTGCGCTCGGCGGGGCGGCGGGTGTGGGCACCCTCGTGCCAGCGGCGGCGGCGCTCCGAGCGCAGAGTCACGCGCATGGTGGTGGCCGTGGTGCTGCTCTTCGTGCTCTGCTGGATGCCCTTCTACGTGCTCAACATCGTCAACGTGGTGTGCCCGCTGCCCGAGGAGCCGGCCTTCTTCGGCCTCTACTTTCTGGTGGTGGCGCTGCCCTACGCCAACAGCTGTGCCAATCCCATCCTCTATGGCTTCCTGTCCTACCGCTTCAAGCAGGGCTTCCGCCGGGTCCTGCTGCGGCCTTCCCGCCGTGTGCGAAGCCAGGAGCCCCCCACGGGGCCACCGGAGAAGACAGAGGAGGAAGAGGAGGAGGAAGAGGATGGGGAGGAGGGTGTGGAGGAAAGGAATGGGAAGCAGGGAGAGGGAGAGGAGACGAGTGGCCGGGTCAGCCAGATCACACGGCCTGGCACCAGCAGGCCGGAGCAGCCACCCAGCCGTGTGGCTGGCAAGGAACAGCAGTTCCTACCCCAAGAGCCCTCAGCTGGACAGAAGTCAGGCACGCTGCATATCAGCTGTCTGTAGGGGCCCGTGGAGGGCCAGGGTAACTCGAGGACAGGGCAGAGGCTGTGGATGCACCTGGGGCATGTCGCCCGCGGTGCCAGAGGCCCATGACAGGACGTTCAGATCCCATTGCTGCTGAGACTCGCTGTGTGACCTTGGATAAGCCGCTTCCCCTCTCTGGGCCTCATGTTCTCCTCCATGACTCGGGTGGGAGTAATTGGCCTAGACAAGCTCTGCCGGATGAGAAGCCTGGAGGGGCAGCAATGCTGGGCTGACCTTCTTGAGCAAGACCCAGGTTGAGGGGACAGGTGCAGACTGGCCGACCCCTTCAGAGACCGAGCATCCTGGTGGATCAGCCTGAATCTTGGCCTTCAGAGGGATAAACCAAGGCCCCGGTATCCTGGCCGCAGAGGCAGGTTCCCAGGAGAGGGACTGGGGCCCAGGTTCACAGGGAGCTAGACCAGGGCCCCAAACAGAAGAAAGTCTTACCCGTGGGGAGACGGGGTGTGAGACTGCTCAGGCCCAGCTCTTTCCCACTTGCCGTGAGGCCTTGAAGCAGCTCTTTCTCTGGGCCGCAGGCCTCGCCTGCTGAGCAACCTAATAACCTCCAGGCCTTCTTGGCCCAGACGGTTGGGCCAGGACCCTTATACTCCTGGACAGGAGAAGAGGTGGCTTTTTCAGGAAGCTCATTAAGTCCAGCCACAGGGTCCCTTACTGTCCCTTCCAAAGTCCTGAAACTAATTTTGTACCTGTTATTTTGTATTGCTTTTCTTAAACAGGGACTCCAAATTACGTAAGCTTAGGCTCCCCAAAGCCCAGCTCGGCCTCTGCTGAGGGCAGCTGACCAATCCCAAGAGCACATCACTTTGTGTCCTGTGGCTGGAGGCTATGGTCTCTGGGTCTTCGAGAGCTCCAGGAGCCTCCTCAGAGAAGAAATCATCCCTGTTCTTCCCCTCCCAGTGACAAAGGCAGGGACCTGGCCCAGACAGACTGGCACGGAAAGGCAGAGGGTCTAGACTTGCTGAGAGGAGAAGGAAGCAGAGGAGGAAGAAGATGGAGAGAAGGGAGCGGGAGGAGCACAAAGAGGAGGAGGATGGAGGACAGATTTGCTCCATGACCTTGAGTTTCCTTGGCCCCTCTGGGCTGAGCTCAGATGCTGCATCGATGAAACTGGGTTGCCAATGTATGGCCCAACCAGTCTGCAGGAAAGGAGGCTGTCAGAATGGAAAAGCAAAAGCCGAGAAAGGTACAGGGCCAACCCCCTTCAGGGCCTATCAGCACTGGTAGGAAGGGCTGGGCCTTGATGGCAGCCTGAGGGCAGAGCTGAGAAGCAGGGCCTGGCAGGTAGGGAGCAGGCCTCCCTTCCTCTAAACTCCTCAGGGGTACAGGATCCGGAAGGCCCGGGAAGACAAGACAAAAGGAGGCTGGAGTGGGACATAGAGAGGGGCCATTGTCCAAGGCTGGGCCTGACAGGCCTGGACTCCCTCCCAGAGCCACGGGCAAGACTGGCCTCAGGGAGGGTGGTACCTCTGGCTAAGTGCTCCAACCCTCCACCCTGCTGAGGGCAGAGGGTCCTCAGGGAAATCACACAAACCACAGTTTGAGAGACCTACATCTTTAACTCACCTCTGCATCCTGGCTAGCCTTGACCTCTCCGGGCCTCAGTTTCCCCATCATAAAATGGAGATGGTTGCTCCAGCTTGCCTGCCGCCTGGGACTTGAGAAGGAAAATGGGCCACGCTGGGTAAACTGTCATATGCACTACAGTGAGTGGGAGTGGGTTATGTCAGATTATAAAGTGGAGGTGGCATCCCTGACCTTTACCCTCTTCTCCTTTATCTAGGGACCTCTCTGTATCCAGCCCTTGAGGGTGAGGATACTTCATGACATGACAAAGGGAGAGTTGCAGGTCAGATGCCAAGGATCAGAGAGGCAGAACTTAGGAGAATGTAAGGCCCCCTCAGGGAGAATAAAGTTCACAAAATCAGACCTCGTGTGGAGGCTGGGGGCTCGAGGTCTAGCGCTCAGCCTGCGGTTCCTCTGAGAAGGATCTGGAGGTCTGAGGGAAGAGGGCCCCTTAGCATCGCAGCATTTCCTGGCTGGCCCTGCCTTCCTGATTCCTGGGGTAGGTGAGCCTGTTCTGCAAGGGTGGCTGGGAGGCCCCTTAGGAAAATTCTTTGCTGCTTCTACCCCTAGCTTTTGTCAATAAAGGCGGTGACAGATGAAAACAGCCATGGCCTGGGCCAATTCCTTTGCCAGGTGCTGTGTGTCTAGGTCAGTGTGCATGGGTGGGCATGTATATAGGTGTCTACCTCTATCAAGATGCTCCCTTTATCCATCTCTCAGGTCTGTGTACCCAGGCTTCCCAGAGTCCTGGCATTCCAGGGGATGTGCAAGATGCCCCTGACAAGACAGCCTACAACCTTACAGCTGTTGATCCAAAAGTGGTAGATAATCTCTCTTCCTGTGTCCAAATATCGTCTCATGGAAGAAAGCTGATTGGCTCTAACTAGGTCACCTGGTGGCCCCTCGGGCCAGTCACCAAAGACAAGGTGATAGACTGCCATGATTGACCAGGTGTGGGTCATGTGACCATCCCTCCAGCCAGAGAGAAGGTGGGACGCTGTGATGGATGGTCTGGTCTGAACAATGGGGTAGGAGGTGAGTGAGGGGCAGGCTACAACAGCAAAGGGAGGCAAGCCAGGCAGCAGCAACAGTAGGTTGAGCCAGGGGGTAGATGGGTTGTAAACCTAGTGCAGGGTGCATAGTAGGTGCTCAGGACATCTCAGCCATATCCACGACTGAATTTGCATTGTGCTATTAAGACCGACGGCCTGCTGTGCATGTGGCAGGTGTGCATGGGGGTGAGAGCAGAGGACTGTGGGTGGCCGAGTGCTGCATGGGAGTGGTGTCTGGGCCAAGGCTCCCCCACCCTGCTGGATCCCACAGCCCTCAACACACCGTGTGCCACTGCCTCTGCCTGCTCACGTGTATGCGTGTGTGGGGGTGTCCCGCTAGCCTTGTGCCTCCAGGCGGGCACCGTGTCTGATTCATCTGTGTTTCCAGGGCCAGGCAGCACATGGGTCCTTCATGTGTGTATCTGGAATAAATGAATGAATGAGGAGTATTCCATTTCACAACTCTAGGGGGCAATTTTCAAACCATAGGGGGGTTTGGGGCTGGAATCTGGGTTTTTGGAACCGCAGAGGCTGTAGGGTGAGGGGAGGCTCTGAGGTTCTGAGGCGGAGCATGCAGGAAGGGGTGGAGATGACCCGCCCTGCCTGACTCCTCTCCAGACATCCAAGTTGCTCAGACCCAAGACCTTCCCTTGAACTTGTCTCAAAGAGGTGGTTGCCAAGCAACAGCCCATAGCCACCAGGCTCTAGACGGGGACTTCATGCATCAGCATCAGCATCAGAGGAGAGGAGCTAAGAGTCCACAGGGCCTGGGGTAGGGGTGGCCAAGGCCCCAGGGCTTGAGGCCCTCCTCATCTACAAAGAGGCCACTATCTCATGGGGGACGTGACAGCCTGGGCTCCATAGGACTCCAGACACAGAAGAAAACACTCTAAAGGTGAAGGGCACCCCAGGCTGCAAAGCGAGGGGCTCTCCCTGGAGTCATGCAAGGCCGCAGTCCCTTCAAGGTCTCGGAGTGCTCCCCTGTCACTGACAGGCCCTGGCGAGACACTCGGTGAGTCCACTGGAAGGCTGTCGGGGAAGTGCATCCTCTAAAAGTCATGGAACCCAAAGTTAGGAGGCCCGGGCCCTAGGCCCACTCTGTCATGAACCTACTGTGTAGCTTTGGGCCATTCACTTCACCTCTCTGGGCATAGTTCATTAAGTGAACAGAGATCTTTCTGAGCACCCACTGTGTACAAGGCCCTGACACTGGGCTGGGCTACAGTGGAGAAAAACAGCCACACAAGTAAATATGTCACTATCCAGTGGGGACGGAAGCGAAATTTGTTCTGGGGGAGCATATTTGTTGTGGGAGCTGCACTGGGAGCAGAGGGTTGAGCGCGAGTGTGCCAGGCAGAGGGACTTGCGTATGCTGAGGCCTGGAGGCTGGAGGAAGGCCGTGCATGAAGGCGAGGAAGGCAGACGTGAAGCCCAAGGCAGGGACAGACCCCTAGGAAGTTAATTCCTAGTGTGGGTTGAATTGTGTCTCTATCTCCCCACCCCCACCTCAACACGCAATTCATATATTGAAGCTCTAACCTCCAGGACCTCAGGAGGGTGTGACTTTATTTGGAAATAGGGTCATGGCAGATGTAAATAAAGATGAGGTCAAACTGGAACAGGGTGGGTCCCTAACACAACATGACTGGTGTTCTTAAGAAAAGATTTGGACAGAGGCCTGCGCACAGGGAGTATGCTGGGGCGATGCTTCTAAAAGCCAAGGAAT